AAGTGTATTATATTTATTTATTTATTATATATTATATTTATAAATAAATATATAAATGTATTATAAGTGTATTATATTATATATAATACATAATATAAATATATTTGTAAATGTATAAATGTATATTATTATAAATGTGTATAAATTATAAATGAATATTATATAAATGTATAAATTAATATATTATAAATATATATTAATACTATGTATAAATGTATTAATGTAATAAATATAAATGTATACATTTATTAATATTATGTATAAATGTGTAATTAATATTATGTATATTAATATAAATGTATAAATGTATTATATATATAATACATAATATAAATGTATATTATAAATATACATAAATATATATATTATGTTTAAATGTACATTTATATAAATGTTCAATATATATAATATATATTATGTATATATTAAAAATATATAATATATAACATTTATATAAATGTATAATAACATATTTATAATATATATAATTTATATAATATATAAAAATATATTTTATATAAAGTAAAATATTTATAATATGTATAAATAAATATATTTAAATTAATATAATATATATCCTATACATAATTGAAATATATAAGTTGAAATAAACATATTAAATATGTATTTGGAGTTGTTTTTGATATATTGTTTGGATATTGGTGTTTTTGGAGTTGTTTTTGAAATACACATTTACTGTAGCATTTGGATTGTGAAAAACAGTTTTTCAAAAACAGGCCCAAAAACAAGAATCCAAACAAGAATCTAGCTTTTTCTTTTATTCATGTAGTTCTATCTGGTGGAAAGTACCCTTCGATCACAGGAGAACCCTGATCTGAAATTCTTTTCCTTAATATAATCTGATCTTTGCGCAGCTACACGGATTCCGATCAAGCACTGACGCTGAACAAATAGCATATGTGTGCAGTTGGCTGTCGGTGAATGTTTACGGCAGATTCCTCATTAATAACCAAATCAGCTTTTCAATGATCGGCACGTCTGGATGCCCGCTGAGCCAGACCAGCGCTGCCGCCGCGTTATATTATACTGTAGTATATACTTGATACTATACCATATAAACGCTAAAAGCTTCACCGCACCAATACAAATATGGGTCTTGCCAATTGGCATTGCAAAAGTTGTTCCCAGCTCTCTCAATTCTTTATTGGTCTTCTTTTGACACACGCCACATTTTCTTTGGACCAATTGAACATGAAAACGTTTAAAGAAAAAATAATAATAAAAAGAACAAAAGAGATTCTCTACAATCAATGGTAATGCATGGAGATTGAAAGACGGTCGTGCCAATCACGACGGAAAGAGTTTATCGATCTCATTGGCAACTGTATTCAGCTGCAACTATTGGTGCCATTGTTCCAGTCAAGAGTCACCCTATTATGTCTAACTTCTGAATTTGATGACAAAGCAACTCATAGGCCACTTACTTGGAATATCCACAAAAGCAATAAGAAGAAGTCTTCCAAATAAATCCTTGCCTTGCCTATAACTAGTTTGTGAGCAGGTCCAGACCTTCTCTTTTGTTTGCTTGCTTTAAATGCTCTAGTAGTTGAGAGTAAACATCCATTATCTGAGTACAGAATGTCTCAGTCAAAGCTCAAACAATGCTTCTCATCGTCTTGTTTATTTCTGCTTTGTGAATTTGAGTAATCACCTCTCCATAAAACTAAACGGAGGACACTTTTACTGCGTGAAACTATGCAACCACATTGTCTCTTTCTACCCTTACTTTGTGGCATAACGGACTGCTCGTCTTGTGAAACCATCCGCATTTTGTTCTCTCCATCTCTCACATCTTGTTTAACGAAGAGAAAAAAGTTTAGAGAGGGATGGTCCACCCAAGGCAACTTTATCGAAGGTTTATTATAAATTTTTTATGATTAATTTTCTATATACTGAGTATATATATATATATATATATTATTTAATGTATGATACATAATTTGATTTGAATCTCAAATTTTACATATATGTCATGCATCTAACCGTGATAATATACACTGTCAGAGTATATAAAATTAACTCAATTTCCTTTAGGTTGTCCTCCAATAAAGGATTCTCACTTACACTTCATTCCTCCGAACCACCCAACCCAACCCTCCTCGGATAGTACTATTTCAATATGAAGTTAGAGTGTCCTCAAATATTAAGTTTTATTCTACTTAATTTAGCAGTTCACTTAAATTTTATTCTGCTTAATTTAGATGTGGAATAAATCCCACCAACGTGTAAAGCAATCTCACTTGGTTGAATGCTGTTACGATGTGAATACTCTTTTGTTTTACGGAAATGTTATCTCCACTATTTTTTTTTTCGTTATTTGCACTTCTATTATTTATTTTATCGTAGAGTCTAATAAATGAAAATTATATGATTAAAATAATAGTGAGAGCGTAAAACAAAACAAAGTGGTCAACTCTTGGATGTCATGTCGTTATCCATGGCAATGACCCGGTCAGACCAGTGATTTTCACAATTCCAATACAGTGAAGTCTGCGGGGAAAGAAACATAAAGTCTTATTAGATTAACATGTAGAAAAGAAGATTTCAAGAATGTAGTTATTGCATGTCAAGAAATAGTCAGTGACGTCGGTTTTAGATCACAGTACACCTTCCATGCCCATTTAAGAGTTCACTCATTCTTCCCCTTCCCCCCTTCCGATGCTAGTTTTCCAGTAAAAGCATCAAATTTTCAAACTCATTATCGTGCATATGTTCAAAAATATTCCAAAAATTTAAGTTTCAATATCTTAATTGTTTTGAGCTAACATTGATTTGGTCAATTGTTTTTATTTTCAAAAGTAATGACGAAGTAATATAAGATGCAACGACCAGAGAATGTATGACTAGTTCGAAATTCTTTTTATTAAGATTCGTTTAGATCGAGGAATTTGATAAAGGATATGAAATCTAATCAAATCACTGTAATAGTTTGAATTGTTAAGAAGTACTTAAATTTGTAATTTACAAATTATTAAAATAAATTTAAATATTAAAATAATTAGTGATTTGTAAATTTAAATATATTTTAATAATCTAAACAACTAGAAGGATTTGAATTCTTCAAATTTCTTAATCCAAATGTAGCCTAACCAAAAAACATTTCTTTTAATACTTCTTTAGAAAAAAAACCTTTGTCAAATCGCAATACTCCAACTCCATTTAACAAAAAAAAAAAGTGAAAAAGACCGAAAAATACTTACTCGTTTTTTTTTTTTTTTCCAGAAGAAAATTTTAGTTACCCGGAAAAGCCTTAATGTGGTTTGAATGGAGCAAGGTAGGCGGAGACGGTGGATGGATTTGGTGACGCGTGTACGCCGAGGTTGGCACCGCCCACCGGACACGCAACACAATAGAAGGGAGCAGTGGAGCACTTGCTTCATTTCTTGATTATATAGTCTTTCCAAATTCGAATTCAAGTCAATTTTTGGCGTGGCAGTCCATCACACGCTTTAGTTAGTGGAATCATCTATCTTTTAATTATTATCACTAAGAAGACTCTTTACTTGGTTTTCGTCACATTTTAGGCGTTGTTTTTTCCAACAATCGGAATTATTGAAACAAACACAACAAAGTTAGATTAATATTCAGAAGTAATCGAGATCTTTAGATTAATATTCAGAGGTAAATCACAATTTCACCGAATTCATAAATATATTACATATGTATATATAAATATTATATCTATGTGTGAAAACGAAGTTGAAATCGAAATAGAAATTTCGATTTCACCGAATTCATGAATATAAAAATTACTATGATAATATAAATGTTATATTATATATATATATATATATATATGAAAAACAGATTTGAAATCGAAATAGGAATTCCGAATTCTGATTCTGATTTCGAATTCGAAATTGGAATTTCATTTTTGAAAAATCTCATTACCGAATTCGAAATCGGATATTCCGAATTACCGAATTCGAAATTCCGAATTCAATAGGATTTCGGTCGGTAAATCGAAATTTTTCGATTTTGCACACCCTTAGGAACTAGTTTAAAATTAGTACTTATTTGATAGCCGAATTTAGCACTTAAATTTAATGGGTTCAAAGTTGAATATGTTAAGATGCGTTTGATAACCAACCTAAACTTAATGGATTCAAATATGAATATATTAAGATGTGTTTGATGACAAAAAATAGAACATTTAAGTGGCACTGAATTTTTTAAACAAAACTTGCTTCAAAAAATAAGTTATAAACTATTCACTTATCATTTAATGTGATATACATTCAAATATATTAAGTTTTATACTTAACAATTTAATAATTTAATAGATTCAGACTTCACATTTCATATTCAAACCTCAGTTTTCAGACTATCAAACGCACTATTAGGAAAAGCATGAACTAACAGACAGAGTTTTTTTTTTTTTTTTTTAATTAAGATAAAGATAATCTCCTTACATTGGCTTGAAACTTACAAAAATTGATACAATCAACGCAACAAATATCGAATTCTGCAGTACTATACCGATTTTTATATGCGTTGTTGCCTAGCTTCTTTTTTCTGTTCATGTCATACGCTTTTATGCCTGGTATTTCTTCATTGTTTAATTTTCCCTAATTAATCTCTATTCTCAAATACGAACGTTGGAGAGAATATGTTTCACATTTGAAGAGAAAAGTGATAACTTTTTTTTTTTTTTTTTTAAATAAAAAAGAGATATGTTTCACCTAACTCCTCCTAAACACTGCTTATTGAGAGCACTAAAACTTGTGGGAACGTGGTACTTGCATCTTTCAAGAATCTGTGATAGAATATACATCGGATAAGAGCACATAAATAAATAACTATTGGGTAGGTCCAGTGGTCAGGGTTCTTAGGGTTTTTTTCCATTGCCAGCTTGAATTTTGTGTCGGATAGGAAGATTAAAATAAATAAATGACTTAAGCAGAAGAAAAATTGATAGGGTGTGAATATTAATTTTCAAAATTAGTACATGAAGCTCATTGCACTAATGCACGCAGAGTGAAGCGTTCCTTGCGCGTTAATTGATTATCATAAGTGCTTATCAATTTTGAACGAGTTGATGAAAGTAGTTGAATTTGTTTGGCCAGATTTTGCACAATAAAAGGCTAATCAATTTGGGTCCTTCAATATTACACACACCACCATACCCAAGCCCACATTTTTTAATAAATTATTGTCCTTCCAATCTCAGGAGGTAAAGTTCCGCTGCCTGTATGATATGATATGATGATCTCAAGTAAGTAAGATGCATGGAGGAGAGCTCTTCTTTTCTCACATCACCAAAATTCTAATCGCGTTAGAATTTCAAATTCCATGTAACTCTCACATGTCAGCTATTTTCCCTTGGCTCTCTCCGTCGTCGTGAAAGCGTAGCCCCCTCCTCTCCCTGCTTTTCGTTCTGTACAACGTTACAGGAGAGAAAGAAGGGAAACAGCACAAACCAGAAGACCCTCTTGTCCCATCTGTCCAATTGCCACCTCAAAGAACAAAGCAGCGCGCGCAAATTCTACTAACTTCTATCTCTCCCTTCCTCTCGATTTTCCATTTCTCTTTGTTATTCCTTTTCTTCGACGACTTTGTTCTTCTGGCTTCAATTCAAGTTTTCCCAAGGAATGCCAAACGCAAGCACCATAACCACCACCAATTCCGGGAGCGGAAGTCCCATACCCACCCATCGCCGGCGCGTTCCGGACTCGATGATGAGCGATTCCGACAGATTATTGGTCCATACACAGACTTCTTTCGACCGTCTTCAGGTCGGTTGTGCAGGCGACGAGGAATATTGTAATTATGGCAATGGTTCTCCTGCCCACAGCCTTCATCAACATCTACACTACCACCATTTGTTACGTAGAAGGGTCACGAATTTTTTCGTGGTTTTCCATAACTTGTTGCATTCTCTGGGATCAAAAAAGAATTTTGCGCGTACGCTTATCAGTTTGCTTATGGTTTTGGTGGTGGCATCTATATTTTTGAAGTATTCCGTATTGGATGCCAGTCTACATGACCAATCCAAGAAGAGAAAGGATGATTTTCCGATCATTCAGAATATGAAGACCAGCTTAGCTCGTGATCAGCATGTTATAACAGAATCGGCGGTGGCCTTATCTGCCGGACTTCTCCATAAAAGGCAAATGGTTGAATACCCTGTAAGTCCCATGTCAAATGTTGTACTAAATGATACGTCAAATTCCAGGTTTATCCGTCTCTTGCACTGCTTACGCAACTATCTTTTTTTTCAAAAAGCATTTGTCAGTCAGTTTGAAGATTCAGCTCTTTTTTTTTTTTTTTTTTTTTCTGGCACATTTCGATCAAAATGCATCGGAAATTCCTCAAAAGTCTCTAAATCACTGTAGTTGTTGCGAAATAGGATTGTAGGTGTTTAGTTTCCGTAGCAGACTTCTACTCGGCTTCCATTGGGTTGGTGGGGTGCCTCCTCTTCCTCTCTCTCTCTCTCTCTCGTTAACAATTTTGACCCAATGACCAAACAAAAGAATTGTAAATTGTAAATGGGTACAGCTGATTTGGCGGCAACCCATTAAGCGCGTAAACGTTGAATCCTGCCTTAGTTGCCTTTGACCATGATTTCTTGTACGGCTACCTCTCTAATCATTAGTTTTACCGTTGTCGCCATTTATTCCCTTCTAACGGCTGATACTTGAGAGTTTACTACTTTTTACTTGGCCGTAAATTCCCTTTTCCTTCAGTGGTCCAGCCAATTAAACGGAACGGGATTATTATGAATTACTAGAACTATATATCTCAGAGCCGTCATTCATAATTCTTTTCTTTTCCTTTTATGGGGCTCTACTCATTTTTCCTTTTCTAAAAATTTTTTTATTTTGGGGAGTTGGAATGCTGCAGTATGGAGTCTGACCTATTCAAATTTGTAGGATTCGTTAGTAATAGCAAACTGAATCTTGTAGCCAGTAGTAGCAACCCGTAAACTTTTTTTTTTTGTCATTGGATGATGCTACTAAGGCTAGCAGGTTAGTTTACTTTTCTCAGTTGGATGTCGTAATAATTGTAGATTGAATGATCATTCAATATAATTGCGAGTTGAATTTTCTGTAACAGGTTCCGGAAATATGGATGAAGCCAAACAGTGATAACTACTATCAATGCATTGGTCGGCCGAGGAATCGAATAAGTAAAGTCCGGCTTTATATTTTGATAGCATGTGCCCTGCACAACAGCAATTTATAAGTTATTACCAAATCTTTCAGGGACGGGATCGGAAACAAATGGCTATATTCTAGCTCATGCTAATGGAGGGCTAAATCAAATGCGAACAGGAGTGAGTCGATCTTAATGTGTTCTCAATGTTTATTTTAGCTTATGCAAAATGATGAATATTTGATGTAAACGAACGCAGATATGCGACATGGTTGCAATAGCAAAAATTATGAATGCTACTTTGGTTCTTCCTTCTCTTGATCACAAGTCATTCTGGACAGATCCCAGGTATACATATAACGTTTTTCATCACAAGCAAGCAATTTTTGTTTGAGCCCGGTACATTTCTTTGCTTTGTTGAACATTTTCCTGTTCTTTTCTTGCAGTGATTTTAAAGATATTTTTGATTGGAAGCATTTCATTGGCACACTAAGAGACGATATTGAGATAGTAGATTCTTTGCCACCTCATTTGGCATCATCAGTTAAGCCCCTTCCTAAGGCACCTGTTTCTTGGTCCAAGGTAGGGAACCAACAATCATTGAAATCTCTGCAAGTTCTGGTCCAGATTTCTTAAAAAGTTTAAAAAAAAATATTTGTTTTGCAGCCTGGTTACTACAGAGGAGAAATTCTTTCCTTGCTAAAGAAACACAAGGTAATCAAATTCACCCACACGGATTCACGTCTTGCCAACAACGGCCTTGCGCCTTCCATTCAGAGGCTTCGGTGTCGGGCAAATTACGTGGCTCTCAGATACACAAATGAGATTGAGGAGCTTGGGAGAAAATTGGTTGATAGAATTAGAAGTGATGGCGAGCCGTTTATTGCTCTTCATCTGAGGCAAGTATTTTCACAAATCTGTGTGTCCCAAAACATTTCGGCTTTTTTTTTTTTAGTTAGTTACCACTTACCAAGAGGAATAATGTGGAGCGCAGGTACGAGAAAGACATGCTTGCATTCACCGGTTGCAGCCACAATTTGAGTAGAGAGGAGGTTGAGGAGCTTCGGCGCATGAGGTACAATGTGAAGCACTGGAAAGAGAAAGAGATAGACGGCGAAGAAAAACGACTCCAAGGAGGCTGCCCAATGTCTCCGAGGGAGGCGGGTCTCTTTCTCAAGGCCATGGGTTATCCATCAACCACAAGAATATACATAGTTGCAGGAGAAATCTACGGGAATAATAGTATGGATGCATTCCGGGCAGAGTACACGAACGTTTTCTCGCACTCCACTCTTGCAACAGAGGAAGAGTTGGAGGAACTAAAACACTATCAGAATCGTCTTGCTGCTCTGGATTACGTTATAGCTCTTCAGAGCGACGTCTTTGTTTACACATACGATGGGAACATGGCAAAGGCCGTACAGGGCCATAGAAGGTTTGATGGGTTTCGAAAGACGATAAATCCTGACAGGTCTGTCAATACTGCTGGCTATTTTGTACTTCACGTTCAGCGCCTTTCTTTTTTTTTTTTTGGGCTTCTCAGCATTCTGCTTCTTTGCAGATTCAATTTAGTTAGGCTGATGGATATGTTGGATGTGGGCACGTTATCATGGGAACAATTTGCCTCGGAAGTCAAGAGTTTACATGAGAACAGGCTTGGAGCACCATATATTAGACAGGCGGGAGAATCACCAAGATTGGAGGAGAACTTTTATGCTAATCCGTTTCCTGGATGTATTTGTAATGTATCTCGAGAACAAGAAAGAAGCCAACATCATCACCGAAAATTTATAACTAGTTCAAGAATAGCATCACAGAGATAGGGCTCATAGTTATTTTTGAGTGTAAATAGCAGTAATTTCAATCGTAGAGCATAAGATACAAAACAGAGAGAGTGGTGGGCTGTGCAAGAAGTAGCAGCAATGCGATTCGGGCCCTTCATGATTCAATTTTGGAGGATACGGACATACGGTAGAGGGAGAAATTCCTTTTTTTTTTTTTTTTTTGGATCCCATTATGAGAGGCATTGTAAATTACGGAGCACAGATATTCTTTTATTTATTGATTTTGTCCTTGTTTTGGCCTTGTCAGCTCAATTTTTCAGTTACACGTTTACTGTCATAAATATGTTCCTGGTCACAATAAAGAAAATCTGCTACAGAAAACTAATCATCCTCCGACTCCAAGAAATATAACCCGAGAATCCATAAGAAATAGTACAAAAATAGAGATGCCGTGACGGATTACAACTAATGCAGGTCTATCAGTTTTGAACCAAAACTTGGGGTTCTGCAGTCAATGCCAGAAAATTGCAATATACAACATTAACAGAGGGAGGAATGAACGGAAAAGCAAATTATACACCCACACACCCTAAGAACTGCAACAACGGGGAGATTTGATGATGGAGAGTAAAGAATTATTGCAGGCAAAGAAGATGGTCGTTGTTAAATGTCTAATAGTACAAGGAAAATCCTAACACCAGTCTTATCACCTCTGGACCAGAAGCTTGGTTTAGCAGTCGATACCAGAAGTTGCAATAGGAACAAATTCTGCTTTAGGATCACATCAATGAACCAACAAGTGAGATCCATCATGTATTTGTATAAACTTCGCCCACAATGTCATTTGATACTTGAGTCAATTACCAAAAGAAAGAACCACGGCATCATTTCAATGGTCCTTCAAAAATCTAGGTGTTGGACAAAGTGGTCCGATAGAAACAATAAATCTAACTAGTGGACTCTCACAGACCGAAGACTTGGTGTTTCTAACCCCAGATTATAACAAGATCTAATAGAAAGAAACTAGAGTATTTTGCTCGTTGACATGACTACTGCCGATTTTACCACATTGATGGCGCATAAACCTGCTCTTTCAGATTCTGAGTAGCACTTTCTGTGGGAAAACCGCGTACAGCTCCTATAGTCCACTGTGATATTATACCAGCAGCAATAGCAAAACGAAGCTGCCTCTCCAAAATATCCTGATTTTCAAACATCTTGGGTACAGTTGTTAGCTTTCTCATAATTGCAGCCACAACAGCATCACCAGAACCTGTTCTATCACAAGTGAATGGTGTTATTAGCACATCTTCTGTGCCAACCACAACCCCATCAAAAGAAGGAGCATAGTAATGTATCCGAAGTGTTCCGTCTGTGACAAACAAAAACTTCAACCCATCATGCCATAATGGAGAGATTTCTTCGCGAGTATAATGATAATAATCTCGCAGTTTACTTGTTTGTTCAAAATTCTCAGCATAGTACTGAGGCGTATAATTTCTTCTCCTCTCATAATGTTCTTCATCTAAAAGAAACTCGAGCTCTTGCTTTGAGACCTCAATGATATCTGCTTGTTCCCAGGCTTTCTTGAGCACTTCCCTGGTCATATCACGTGACTCCCATAGTGGCAATGGGAAATTTGGGTCGAAAAAAACCAATGCACCGAACTTTTTAGACCATGAAATTGCTCTAAAAAGAGCAGAATGCATGGAAGAACAAGTTATGACTTCAGAATTAAAATGGAACATTCTAGCCTGAAAAAAAAACAAGAAGAAAAACTAGCATCAATATTAGTCACTAAACTTTTTTTTCTCTTAAAACTTTGTTCTAGTTCATTAATTGTTTCAATCAAATTCACCTCATAATTCCTAAACACTTTCTAACCATAATAAACAAATTCAGTATTAAAAGTGTATTCCCAGTGCCCAAAGTTTGACTACTTCAAGACAATCGTCTGGGATCAAGAATACAGCAGTCAGAAGAGAAAGAAGAACCTTCTCTAAATCAGTGGTAACGATAAGAGCACGGACAGAAATAGTTCAAAATCAACTCACTAATGGATCTTATCCCTGCGTGCAGATTTCACTAGCCACTCCAAGTTGTCCTCTCTATCACATAATCTGTTAGCAGAATTTGTAAGAGTATGGACATAATTAGATTTATCCCAGAATTGCCCATTCTAAAACTTGATCTGCACGAGGATATAATGGTTACTTTAAATTAGAAAAACTATCTGGGTAGGGCAGAGATTGTCCTCTGTTTCATAGAATCTCCAATCTAATAGCCAAATGTACATAAGTACATCCATTTTCGTCTGTGCAAGACAACAGACCTTTGTTTAAAGGCAACAAGGCAATAAGATAACAAACATTCTTAATCCAGCAAAGCCAAGATAAAGTAAAAATAAGGCAACGGGGGTTGAAGCATCCTGTACTGGGACAGCGCCTAATCAACTAATGAAGAACATAATTGATTAAGTAACTAGTAAACCATAAATCGACAATTAATAAAGTAAAAAATTCCTTCATTGCTATGTTGTATATAGGAGAAAAACATCCTAACATCCTCTTTTTGTTTTGGTTGTTTAAATTATTCTTTTACCTCTTTGAGCACGGCAAGATTCAGTTCGGAGCTTAGTAACGAATCCTCTGCAGATTCTTTCACCTTTTCCATCCTCATTTTGCCATCATTATCGTGCTTAATTTTCATATAGGCACAGGCAGTCCTCACACTGCTGTCGAATTTCACTGCCCTCGTCTGCACCTTCTCAGTATTCATAAGCAACACCATATCTCTTCCAAATTCATCATCCCCAACCTTCCCCATAAAAGCAGCCCTCCCACCAAGCCTGACGTGAGAAACAGCCACATTGGAAGGCGGTCCGCCAGGAGACCTAACAAACTCTGGAGGGTTCCACTGCAGCATTTTCCATTGAGAATAGATATCCGGGTGCATTTGCTCCGGTGCCACTCTTATGGTGGGCACAAACTCCTTCTGGGCTGCCCCAAAACAGCAGATTAGAGGCGGGTACTCGTACGGGAAATCAATACCATCATCATAGTAATCAAGCTCCTCCTGTTTATCGGTTACAGGTACATCATTTTGGGTGTTCTGTGGTTGGCTTTTCCGAGGTCCTCTGGGTCTTTTTGTCGTCGAGGTTGCGGAAGACGAAGTGGTGGTGGTGGACCGAGCTTTTTTGCGGCCTCGGCGGGAAGGCTTTGGCGGTTCTGCGGTGGTTGGATCGTCATCTGAAGATGATTTGGGTGGCAAGAGTTTGTGAAAAGTTCTAGCTTCAGGAATGGGGACCAGCCAAATGGTAGAAATTTGGAAATGGGCTAGTGAGTTTGAGGCAAATGAATGAGAGTTTGGGAGAAAAGATGGTGTACGAAATGGAAGGGTTGCCATGGTTCGGACTTGCAGTTTAGGGCTTATCCATTTGCGATTCTACAAATTTTCCTATCTATCTTACCCAACAAAAAAAAAAAAAAAAAAAAGGGAAAAAGGGCTAACTATTTTAAAGGGGTTTGTTGTTTCAATTCTGGCGCTACTTCTGCTTGGTCATCATCCGCCAAACCGGTTCAGAATGAAGTATTTAACGGGCCAAGTTGACCATCCAGGTGGTGTTCTCATATCATATGAAAAGACTAATTTACCTTTACATTTCGTTTCATGGAGTAATATATACATATGTTTTTGGTTATCTTTTTTGGTCTTTACCGCAATACAAAAAATCGCATAATATAGCAAATCAAGCTGGAGTTGATCTTAGAAATAGCAATGAAGCATATACCAATTCAATTTTTTTTTTTGTCAAATGATATACCAATTCAATTCAGCACAGCTATTTTTTGCATTTTTACAGAGTGAAAGAATCCACGAATATTAGGTCAAGATTGGAAAAAGCATGCCTAAAAATTTGCCTAATTTGTTTACATTGAAATTTTAATGGTACTTTATCCATTTCTATGAACGTTGAGGTGTGATTTTTGTGGACAGTATAATCCAATTATCATTCTTGTAATTTACATAACGCCAAAAACAACCCTAAAGGAGGCGCAAACCTTAAAAAGTACATAAAGATGTACAACGCATCCGTTTGATCCGGTGGTGATTCAATCCCCTTTGATTATCCTTGGACCTGTTCAGGTCCCCCTCCCTCTAATATAGAATAGTATAGTGTGGGTCTAATATAGAATAGTGTAGTGTAGGTCTGTCATATCAAAAAAAAATATATATTAAAATTCAAAGGAGCCGTAGACTGAACCGTACTCCGGGCCTCTTTGGGGTAAGGTTAAATTGACGGACACAGGCTAACTTGCAAGATAAGAATTTTAAGTATACAGGTTATCTTTCTTGGCTCTGTGCCATTACCCCAGTTTATGGCAAATAGCAGCTCGTGTCATTTTGCAGCTTTCTTCTAATCGAGCAAAATTCCGGTCCCAGCCCTTTTCTCAACGAAGAAACTTGTACGTATATTAGAATCCTTTTATTCTTGACGACATGTATTGTAGTAGTTTAGTAACTAATAATAATACTGCCATACAAAACATAATAGCAGCATGGACATGGCACGGAACCGATCCGATGGCATTAGATTTTGTGCATGTAGTTACCATTTCCATTGCAGCTTTTCATACAACTGATGATCAAGAAAAAGGCAAATGCAGCTAATACTGTAGCTTCACATAACTTTGAATTTTGATGGTATCCTCATTATAACATAAAAATATAAAGACTACTACTAGCGGTACTTTAACACACTGAAAGTACTACACAGAGCCAGAGTACTTTTCAGTTATGCTACCACCACTACCAGTACTAGTAGATGAATTTGCCTGCTTCCTTTTTTGATCCTCCCGATCAACAAGTTCTTTCTTTATTTTAGCTTATTCCCTTCTGAACCAGGGATTATTAGAGAGCTTGTCTGAAACTGAAGACAGAAAAATCAATGGAGTCAATCAACAACATGCAGGAATCACTCCACGGGAACCATGACTTCATTAGTCCTCAAAGGGGGCAAGGTCCAAGGCGGATTGTACCTGGCCAATTCATGTTCCCCAGTGACCTTGTATCCATCCCTCTCCAAACACCTGTTCAAATTCTCCACCTTCTTCTTTACGACGTCCTCCCTTGCCGCCCCGCTGAACCTCACCACCCCAAACTTCCTCTCTCCTTCTTCCTTAATCACCACCCTCTCATCCACCGGCTTCGGAGCTTCTTCCGCCTTTGCATACTTGGCCGGCAATATAAATTGCATCGTCACCGACTTACTCTGCCCCTCTCCCCCGTTCTTGGTCACAACCGGT